AAAAAAAAAAAAAAAAAAAGTAATTTCTAGAACTTAATAAAGAGCCTTGATGTTTAGGAGAATAAAATTGCCATCATGGTTTTCTTCTTCTTTGCTGGGCAGAAGTGCAGAAGAAGTGGGGAGAGAGTTATGGAAGGATTCCCCTGGACAGTGACATTTAGGCTGATACATGAAAGTTTATAGGAGTTAACTATATGTCTTAGTCCAACTGAGCTATAATACTCTAACATAAAGTGCCAGTAGGTGACTCAAAGACAACAAACATTTATCACATTTCTGAAGGCAGGGAAATTCAAAATGGCTAAGTGCTGGCAGATTCTGGGTCTGATGAAGGCCTCCGAGTTCTTGGATAGCACCTTCTAGCCATGTCTTCATGTAGGGGAAGGGATGCGGTATCTCTGTGGACCTTCTGTCATAAAGGCATAAATCCCATCCATGAGGACTCTGCCCTAATGACCTAACCATTTCACAAATACTGTCACCCGAGGGGTTAGGATTTTAATATGAATTTGGGGGTTGGGCCTCACAAATATTCAGGGATAGAATATTCTAGACAATGGGGACCATGAGGCAAGAAAATGATGTGTCAAGGAACTGTAACTGGATCTAAACACAAAAATGGTACAGCTGAGACTAGAGAGGTGAGGATAGGGCAGAGCATTATAGGCAGTGTTAAGGATTCTAGATGTCAACCTGGAATCATAGTTGCAACTATTTGTAACAAGTGATATTTCATGCCTTTTAGTCTTAGAAGTCTAGGAATAAAAGTCATGAAATTCTAATCTTGACAAATAGTTTCAGTTATTCAAAAAGAAACTCAGAAGCTACAATAGGGTCTATCGGGACCCTAACAGTACACTGAACATTTTGTGATGTTGAGGATGTATAAATTCGAGTCCTTGTTCACTTATTTATAGTTTTTGTCATCTGTTGATTCTGTCCTAGGTTTTTATCAGTTCACATTGAGGAATGTTGAGATTTTGGCAGATTTCGTGGATTTCACAATGCAAGATATCTTTATAAATGTCTTGGTGTAAAATCTTTAATTGAACTAACACTGTGTAATTCTTGTCTCTCTTAGATACACCTACAAGATCATACATCATTTCTGAAGTAGATGTATTTCTCTTTCTGCTCCCCTAATGATTCATTACCACAAATTCTATAAATTACCTCTAGATGCCTGTGATAGAAATATTATATAATGCCCTTTTTTATATGAAGGTAGTATTGAAAGCATTGTAATATCAGATGGAAAAGTCCCTAGTTATAACAATATCATTATACAGAAATAAGTTACTTCAAAATCTAGGAGAGAGACTTGATCTAGAAGTGTAAGGCATTATGAATACTGCCAAGCACAAACCTTAGCTCTGATCAGAATTTTTGTGGAACCTGATAAACTGATTCTAAAATTCATGTGGAAAAGCAGATGACCAAAGATACCTAAGGTGAAACAAGCTGAAGGAACTTGCCCTAAAAATATCAATAAGGTAATTAAGACGCTGTGAAATTGGAAGAATGATAGACACTTACTGAATGAGAATAAGAGTAGTGTATCTTATAATGACATTTGTTTGCAAAGAAAACAGTTCGTGTTTATTTTAGAAAGTAAGGTTTTCTTAAGACTTAGTCCTACAGTTCTTCTTTTCTCAGAAATCTTTAACTCCACAGTGTGGAGGCTTTAAGTTGCATAACTCTGATAGTGGGTTTGGAGTACTGGTACATAGATAATTCTGCATATCCACCTTCAGAGAATTAAACTGCTCATGAATATTCTTTAAGAATTATGAGGTTTTGTTAGGTTGGTGCCTTTCCTTTACTATTTTCAGACATAATTATGGGCGTTTACTCTTACAGTGCTATATGTGGTATGCACAGAAACATTAGAATGATGATTTCCTAACAAAACTTTCTTACCTACATCTTTACATACAGGAGCTTGGAAATATTTCGTTAACCTTTACTTTTCATGTTGTTTGTGATTGACCTGATTAAATGTGAAAGAAATGTTTCTGGAAAAGAATTTAAAGTAATTATGAGCCAGTGGCAAAGCAGTATTTCATAGTAGGCATATTATAGTCTGAATAAATTTGTAAAGTTTTTGGCTTTATGTTTCTTTTAATGCTTTCTTTACTAGTGAAGACTTACTTTACGTTTTCTGTCACTGACTCTCTGATCAGAAGCTAAGTGTAAGTAGTTGAAAATAAGATGAATGCTGTTTCAGTAATATTTATAGTACTTAGTACATCACACTTTTGAAATCATTCAAAAACCAATTGTGCTTGCCCCAACACATTTTACTACTGTATGAGGAACAGTTAGAGATGGTATTGTTGTTATTAACTTTTCTTGATAAAGAAGCTCAATTATTTTGAAGGGTTTTTTTTAAAGTTTGATTATAATTACCTTGTATACCATTAGTCACCAACTTCTCTTCCCTCCTGAAAGACAAAGTAAAGTACATAAAATTAGCATTTTGTATTTTTAAGTTTCTTTTAAAAAATGCCTTTTATATTATTTTTTATTTTACCACCTTGCATATTAAAATGTTTTGATTAATCCTTATGATTATTTGAATTTTTGTTCAACTGAAAAATATTTTCTTAGGTGGGCACAGTGAGTGGCCACACGTATAATCCTAGCACTTGGGAGGCTGAAGTAGGAGGATCACTTGAGGCCAGGAGTTCGAGACCAGCCCGAACAGTAACAAGACCCTGTCTCTACAATAAATAGAAAAATTATCTGGGTGTCATGGTAGCATTGGTAGTCCTAGCTACTCAGGAGATTGAGGCAAAAGGATCACATGAGCCTAGGAATTTGAGGTTACAGTGAGCTATGATGATGCTTCTACACTCTAGCCAGGGAAATATAGTAAGACCCTGTCTCCAAAAAAAAAAACCTTGTATTTTCTTGAATGCCTATTATTTGCATGTTCTTAAAAGTATTGTCAGGGCTCAGCATCCGTATCTCAGTGGTTAGGGCACAGGCCACATATACCAGGGCTGGCAGGTTCAAACCCAGCCCAGGCCTGCTAAAGAACAATGACAACTACAACAAAAAAATAGCCGGGTGTCGTGGCAGGTGCCTATAGTCCCAGCTACTTGGGAGCCTGAGACAAGAGAATTGCTTAAGCCCAAGAGTTGGATGTTGCTGTGAGCTGTGATGGTATGGTACTCTACTGAGGATGAGTCTGTCTCACTAAAAGGAAAAAAGTATTATCAAGAATTTAAAAAGAAATTATGTGAATACTTATCCTCAAGTAATAGATATATTTATAGAACAGTAGAAAGAATATTTTATAGAAATGAAGTATTTTTCTTCCAAACACTAAATGTCATTATTATAGTTATTGTCAGTTCTTTGAAGTAGGTAAGTACTTCAGTATAAAATGAAATACCAAAAATACCTAACTCTTATGCTGTTTCTGTATTTCCTGGTATTTTAACTGATTTCTTTTCTTTTCTAGGTACCTAGTTGATAGTCGCTGGTTCAAACAGTGGAAAAAATATGTTGGCTTTGACAGTTGGGACAAATACCAGATGGGAGATCAAAATGTATATCCCGGACCCATTGATAATTCGGGACTTCTCAAAGGTCATTATTTTCTTCAATCAAATTGTAAATATGTAAATTTCAATATGTTATATGTTATTGGATTGAATGTAGAAAATGTTGATGATAAATTAAAAATGTCTGCATGATTAGATTTGACCTGGTGAACTTAGATTATCCTAGTTATTCTGTATCATGACACATTTTGTTTTTCATTTATGATGTAGTAGGGTTTATTATTGTTTAAATATTTAAATGAAGATTGTAACTTAGAAAGCACTCTCTCACTATTTTGAAAAGCTGTAAAACATTGCTTTTCCTAATGAACATGTGTGTATTTTTAAAGCTGAGGAGCACTGATATGTTTTTACATTATTGTATTTTTGGATTAACTTTCTGCAATTGTCACTAGTTGCCAGTCTTTCTATACCTCTTACTACATGTAAAGGGAATAAAACATAAATATGGAGTGACAGGGACTAGATTTACCCTCCCACCTGAGCTAACCAAAACCTTGACAAATACACGAAAGAGCAGTTTTTAAAACACTGAATGTCAGGCAACAAAAAACAATGATTCCTGAGAGATGGAAAACAAATGCAATAAGATTGCCTTCAGCTTACTACAAAGAATTTCCAAGATACAGCACAGGAAGGAGAAATTCATCCAGACCAGATCCATCTTCCTTAGTTTTAAAGTGCAGAGAGACTGTTAGTATTTTCAGGAGCGTATCAGAGGGGAGCAGGCAGCTTGGAGAGAGAGACCTGAAAACCTGCCAAGAATCTGTCTGTTGTCTTCAGTTGCATGTCAGTAAGCATGTTGTACATGAGGAAGGTACCCCAGGCCAGGGAGAGAGCTGTCCACAAGAATCAGAGGGAGTAATCATCTAGGCTTATATGAAAGTAGGAATAATTTGGGTTCCCAGCAGCTAGAATGGAAAACTTTGTAATGTGTTGAGAACAGTTTTACCTCTATAACTGGGTGAAATGAATTTGTGTCCTGCTAATCAGAAAACATAAAACTATTTCCAAGTAGCTTAACTGCATTTTAGAACAAAACTTGAGTATTTTTAAGAAGATAAGAATATCCAGAATCCAGCAACATAAATTTATAGCATCTTAGATCCAACTGAATCATACCTGCCATGCAAAGAAGGAAAATATGACACATAGAAGAAATACCAGTCCTTTTTGAAAAGGTTTCTCCCTCAAAAGAGTGGGAAGAATTAACCAAGAAAGATAAGTACAAAATAAATAGTAAAATGATAGATTTAAGCCTAGCACTATGAATAATCACATTAAATGTAAACACCGAATTAAAGGTAAAGATTATAGATTTGGTAAAAAATTAAGACCCCACTATTTACTATCTACAAGAAACTCACTTTAAATGTAAGGACACAGATAAAACATAAGATATGGAAAAAGATATCTGTGCTGTGGTAAGCAAAATTCTGAGCCTAACCCCCAGACACCCTCACTCCTCTATAATCCTTTCCCCTTGGAGTGGGGTAAAACCTTTGAATAGGATGAGATATTACCCTCTCCATTATGGTGTGTGGTAAAAGGAGATTATCCTGATGAACTTAATGTAATCACACCTGCCCTTTAAAAGCAGAGTTTCTCTGACTAGTGGGAGAAAAAATCATAAATTTCAAAGCAAGAAAAGGATTCATTACATCATTACTAGTTTGGAGTTGGAAGAGACCACTTGACACTCACAGCATGCAGCCCTTAGAGACAGAGAGAGGTCTCAGGCTGACTACCAGCAAAGAAATAGAGCTTCAGGGCGGAGCCTGTGGCTCAGTGAGGAGGGTGCTGGCCCCAAATACTGAGGGTGGGGGGTTCGAACCCAGCCCTGGCCAAACTGTAACAAAAAATAGCTAGAAGTTATGGCAGGCACCTGTAGTCCCAGCTACTCAGGAGGCTAAGGCAAGAGGATTGCCTAAGCCCAAGAACTGGAGGTTGCTGTGAGCTGTGACGCCACAGCACTCTACCAAGGGCGATAAACTGAGGCCATCTCTAAAAAAAAGAAAAGAAAAAGAAATAGGGCTTCACTCCCAAGCATGAGTAACTGAATTCTGTTGATACCCTGTGTGGGCTTGGAAGCAGATTCTTCCATACAGCCTTCAGATGAGAGCCCAGCACAGCCGACATGTTGACTTCAGCCTTGTAAGACCCTGAGCATAGAGTCTACTTGAGCCCACTTGAATTGCTGCCCCTCAGAACTGGGAGGTAATAAATAGGTGGTGTTTTCTTACCAGTTATTATGGTAATGTGGCAGGCAGCAATAAAAAGCTAATGCACATGCTAACACTGTCAGAAGAAAATGGGAGAGCCTATATTAATAACAGGCATTAGGTTTCAGAGTGAAGAACATTGCCAAGGATAGAGGGTCACTTCATAGTGATTCACGGGATGAAACAGTTAGTTCTATCCTAGATTATACATCCATCTCATGGCATCACTTGAAAATATGTTCAGGAATGTGACGATTGTAAAATTATAGAATGGAAAGTCCCAGCCCACATTCCCCCATAGCATTGCTGATTTAACAGTGACATGTGGACCATAGTATTTTTGTGAGAAGCCCAGGGTTCAGTTAAGTGTCTGCTGCAGATGAGCACAAATAACCATATTCTGTCAGCCCCTTCCTCCAAGCTTGTGTGGGTTAGCACTGAGAGAGACCATCACAGGTCAGGACCTCTCTCTTGGCAGGAGAGAGAGAGAAGCATGTGTCTAACTGCCCAACCTTTTTACGCAAAAAAGGGTGCTTTCTGTTTTGCCTCAGTGGGATGCTGCTGGAATCAGCATAGTTTTGATGCCTGAAGGCATTTTACAAAGGAAAAGGGGCAGGTGACTGCAGCTGGAAGGCTTTGTGAAATGGAAAGAAGTGTAAGAACCCCAGGCTTCTTTCCCAGGAGGAGAGAGGAGTGAGTTGTTCTGGCCTTTAGTGCTGAGAGACCGACTGCTGTCTTGCATCACTGTGCCTAATAGAACTGTCACAGTTCACTTAAATAGGGAGTCAAAAACAAAGGAAAAGGGAGTGGCGGCTTGCTGAAGATGCCATAGCTCTGCGTTATTGGGAGAAGGCACAGAACCTGAGCCTTGTCCCCGAGGGAAGTGGACAAGAGGTAGAGTCTGCCTTCAGTGTCCCAGGCTTTGTTTCAGAGGCTTCCAGAATCTCTATCCAGGCTGATTTGTAAAGGTATTTCCCTGTCAAAGCCAGTTCATAAAGACTGGGAGAGGCGGCTATTTAGTTGCACAAACACCAATGCAAACCTGTGGGAGCTTGCAGAATCAGAGAAATGTATCACCAAGAAACAAAATACATTTTTGGAAATGGATCTTAAAGAAATGGAGGTGAAGTGCCTGACAGAGGATTCAAAATAATTGTCTTAAAGTAGTACGGGGTATCCCAAAGGTCACAAAATGAACAAGCTCATATTATATTTTGTCATATTTTTAATTTTTTAATATATATCAACACATAATGAACATTTTATAAATAAATGTACATTTAGCTACATATGTATGGTTACCGTTGTGACACCCTGTACCTTTAGTTACAAGAAAATGTAGACAACTAAACAAAATCAGGAAAATGAAAATATCAACAAAGAACTAGAAATTATAAAGAAGAACCAAAAATTTTTGAGCTAATAAACACAATGAATTGAAAAATTCACTACAAGTTTTTGACAGCAAGTAGAAGATTGGCATACTTGAAGACAGATCATTTGAAATTATCCAGTCAGAGGAATAAAAATAGAATGAGAAAGACTAATGGAAATCGAAGGAACTTAAGGGACACTAGCAAATGAACCAACATGCACATTGTGGGAGTTCCAGGAGGAAAGAAAGAAGGGCAGAAAGTTTATTCAAAGAAATATTGGCGACTCGGCACCTGTGGCTCAAGTGGCTAAGGCGCCAGCCACATACACCTGAGCTGGTGGGTTCAAATCCAGCATGGACCCGCCGAACAACAATGACGGCTACAACCAAAAAAATAGCCAGGCATTGTCGCAGGCGCCTGTGGTCCCAGCTACTTGGGAGGCGGAGGCGGGAGACTCGCTTGAGCCCAGGAGTTGGAGGTTGCTGTGAGCTGTGATGCCACGGCACTCTACCCAAGGGGCAACAGCTTGAGGCTCTGTCTCAAAGAAAAAAAGAAATAATGGCCACAGCTATCCAAATCAGGGAATGGAAATAGATGTCCAAATTCATGAAGTCCAAGGAAGAATGAGCAACACTGGTAATCAGCATGACCTAATTGACATTTGTCAAGCCTACCACTGAACAACAGCAAAATAAAAATTCACTTCGAGTGTATGCACAGAACATTTACCAAGATAGACCACATTCTGAACCATAAAATGTGTCTCAATAAAGTTAAAAGGATTCAAGTCATACAGAATATGTTACCATAGTACAATAAATTATTAGTAATAGCCCCCAAATAACTGGAAAATCCTCAACTGCATGGAAACTAAATACCATACTTCTGTATAACCTATGGACCAGTCAACAATTCAAAAAGGAAATAAAGTAAAATGAAGACAGAAACATCAAAGTTTGTGGAAGGCAGCCCAATACTGTGCATATGGGGATTGGTAGCACTCAACACAAAAGGACTGTCTTAATCAGTGACCTTGGTTGCCAACTTTGATGTAAAACTAAGAACAAATTAAACCTAAAGTAAACAGAAGAAACAAAATAGTATCAGAACAGAAATCAAATGGGAAAAGAAACACTTCTGAAAATCAATGAAACCAAAAGCTGTGTGCCTTTGAAGTCCAATAGAAGTGATAAATGTCTAGTTTGACTCATGAGAAAAAGACAATTACCTGTATCAGGAACACAAGAGGTAACATTAATATAAATCTACAAATATTGGAAGGGCAGTGAACTTTATGTCAATAAATTCAGCAAATTAGATGAAAAAGATAATTTTCTTGATAGACACAATCAAACTTCATTCCAAAAGAATATTTGCTTGACTAGCCCTCAGTTTTTAAAAACTGGATTTGTAGTTTAAAACTTTCCCACAAAGCAAGCTGTGTGCTCAGATGGTACCACTTGGAAGTTCTAGCAAACATTTTGAGGGAAAAATAGTATCAATTTTACCAACTCTTCAGAAAATTGAGAGGGACTACTTCTAACTCATACTGTGAAACCATCATTAACTGATGGAAATATTTCAAGAGAAGAAAACTATAGACCAAAGTCCTTCATGAACATAAATGTAAAAAGTAATAGAATTTTAAGAAACTATAATTCTGTTTATCTTTTATATAATATAGAAATATATTTTAAAAGGATATTATAACAAGTCAGATAAAAGAGTAAAATAGAAGAAAACTTCCTAAACCACTAGTGGACATCTATGAGAAACCTACAGATGGCATAGTCAAAGAATGCTCTGAAAATTAGGAAAAAGTAAGAAAAAATGGTACGTCCAGCTCTTAGATCATACTTGTACTTGAGGTTCTAGCCAGTGCGATGAGGAAGGAAGAACCAAAGGCATACAGACTCTGCAGGAAGAAATAAGAAAACTGTCTGGACGCGTAGACATCTGTGTCCATATAGAAAATTCAGTAGAGTCCAGAAGAACCCAAATAACTATCAGAATTAAAATAGTTTAGTTTACAGGATACAAGATCATTTTTTAAAAATCTGTAGTAATTTATACACTAAAAATGAGCTATCAAACAATTTTAAGAATATGTTTTATAGTGGCATCAAAAAATGTAAAACATATAAGAATAAATTTTACAAAATCAGTATAAGATCAGTACACTGAAAACTACAAACAAATCAAAACTTTAATAAAGAGAGAAATTATGTGGGTGGGTCAGAAGACTCAGTATCATAAAATTGCCCTTTTCTCCATAATTTATAGATCCAACACAGTTCCAAATCATATTCCTCGTAGCCTTTCTAAAAATTGAGATTGAATTCATATACTGTCAAATTCATCCTTTTAAATTGTACAGCTCAGTGATTTCTAGTATTTTCTCAAAGTTTTTTAACCATCATCTAATTCCACATTTTCATCACCCGGGAAGGGAACTTCGTTTTCATTTGCAGTCACGCCTTATTTTCTCTCCCTCCCACCACCTAGGTCAACAGACAGCACTGATTACTCTGTGAGGGTATATATCTTCTTTGGAGAAATGTCTGTTCAGATCCTGTGCCCATTTTTTAGTGGTGTTTTATTTTTATTGTTATGTTTTAAGAGTTCTTTGTATTCTGGATATTAGACCCTTAGCAGATATATGGTTTGCAAAAATTGTTTCCCATTCTGTGGGCTTTTTACTTTCTTGATGGTATCTTTTGAAGCACAAAAGTTTTTAATTTTGATGAAGTCCAGCTTACCTAATTTTTTTCTTTTGTGGCTTTTGTTTTGGTGACAGAAAGTACTACTGAAACCAAGGTCACAAAGATGTACATGTGTGTTTCTTTCTAAGAGTTTTACAGTTTGGGCTATCACATTTATGTCTTTGATCAATTTTAAATTAATTTTTACATATGATGTGCAGTAGCAGTCTAATTTCATTCTTTTGCTTCTAGATATTCAGTTGTCCAATGGTTTTTTTAATGGAAATTGAAAACCTGATTTAAAAATTCATATGGAAATACAAATGATGTAGAAGGCAAAATAACCTAGAATTTTTTAAAAAAATTATAGCACTTAATGCTGATTTCAAAACTTATTTCAAAGCTGTAATAATCAGTATAGTCTGATGTTGGTGTAAAGACAGATAGACCAATTGACTAGATCAGAGAGTCCAGAAATAGATCTACATATACCATGTATGGTAATTTGATTTCAAGCATAGATACAATAGGAATTCAGCAGCAAAAAGATGATATTTTTAAACAAATACTTCTTTAGCATTTGTGTATTTATTTGCAAAACAACTTAACTTTGATCCATAAATGACACTCTATATAAAATTAACCCCAAATGGATTTTAGACCTAACAATAAAAACTAAAACTTACAAGAAGAGAAAATAGGAAAAAGTCTTTGCGATACTGTATTAAGCAATGATTTCTTGGTTTTGATACCAAAAGCATGATAACTAAAGAAAAAATAATATGTTGTATTGGTTTTTGGTTTTTTTCAGCAACTGTGCCTGATGGTTTTTATTTGTGGGTTTTTTTTTTTTTGATAAATTGTATTTCATCAGTAATAAAAACTTCTTCAAATGACACTGCTAAGAAAATGAAGAGACAAACCACAGTGTGGGAGAAAATATTTATAAATTATGTTGTTGATAAAAGACTTGCATGCAGAATCCATAGAGTAATATCTAAAAGCCATTTTGAGGACAACATAAAACCCAGGAGGCGAAAGATTTGAACAAATGGTTTGCCAAAAAAGATAATATTCATAAAGCAAACATAGTATACAAAGATATTCAACATCATTAGTACTAGAGAAATGAAGGTTATAAACCCACAAGAAGGTACCACTGTAAATGTGTTAAGATGGTTAAAATTTAAAAGACTGATCTATACTGAACTCTCATACACAGTTCCTGCAAATGTAATCTAGTCCAACCACTTCAGAAAATAATCTGGCAATTTCTTAAAAAGCTTAAGCATACATTTACTATAGGACACAGTCATTCCACTCCCAGGTGTTTACTCAGGAGAAATAAAAGTATCCATGTGAAAAGTTGTATATAAATGTTTATGCACTGTTATTTGTTATAGAAAAAATTTTGAATAGCCTACAAACACCCACATGGATAAACATTGTAATATATCTATATAATGAAATCCTGTTCAATAATTAAAATGAACTGTTAATACATAAAAACAGATGGACCTCAAAATAATTACACAGCATGAATGAAACCAAACAGAGAAGAAGACATTCTGTTTTTCTATAAGTCTCTAGAAATTTATTTATAGTAACAGAAAGCAGGTCCTATCTTCATATAAAAATCAAGAAAATGTAAAATTCTATAGTTTTAAAACAGAGTAAGTGACATTCTTTAAGTGTCTTCCTGCTTGATTTCTATTGTTAAATCTTATTAGGAATAGTATGTTCTCATTATTGAAATGCTAACAGAAATAATTTTGTTCTCCACATATGTTAATTAAGACTAACTCGGAACAAGAAAAATTTCTTTAAGTTTAATGTAACTGAGGGAGCTATTTTTGTTTCTGCACTTTGGAAATTCAAATAGCCAGATAACAAGTCTTAAGTTAGGACTGTGGTATAGGTATGAATCCAGACATTTCTTCTAGATCTCTGGCCTTCCCTGCACTAAATTTTTGAGTTTAATAAGAAATTTGAAAGTAGATTATAGAATCAGAACTACTTCTGAACAATTATCTTCATTTTAGATCTTGGGAGGAATCCAGATCATGGGCCTTGGGAATAATGAGATGGTTCACAAGATTCCCTTTCATGGTTTCCGTCATGGTTTCTCAGCCTGTGTGTCTTAGAGTAATTGTAAAAGTTTATTAATTTGCTTCCCAATTTTCTATATTAGTTGATGATACTCAAAATACTTGAGAAACACTCTTCTGTCAAATCTCACAACTAACAATTACTCTTTAGTATTTTTTTAAGAGCCTAATAAAGAAAAACTACATTTTTAAACACTTTTTGACTAATGGTACAAATTAAGCTTTTAAAGCAATAGGTTATTTTGAGATATGTCGGGTATTTGATCCTCTTCAGAGCTTTTTCCAGGACTTATCATTTTAAATACTTAAGTTAGTCTTTACGAGTTTAATTTGTAACTTACAAAACCAAAGTGTTCAGTTGTGTGTACTATTCTTTCTTTTTATGTATCGGGTTTATTTTTCCTTTGCAGATGGTGATGCCCAGTCCCTGAAGGAACATCTTATTGATGAACTAGATTATATACTGTTGCCAACTGAGGGCTGGAATAAACTTGTCAGCTGGTATACATTGATGGAAGGTCAGGAACCAATAGCACGAAAGGTACTTTTTCATGATAAGTTAACACGTGTTTCTTGAATGATTCACCACTTTTTATGAATTCAGTGGATTGTGAAGACTTGTCATGTATCCTGGACAGAAAGGCCAGCAAAATGGCACTGTACACTGTGTTATAATCTAACAGCTAAGAGAACGAGGGCTTGCTTATCCTTGCCATTGTTCTAAGGATATTACATATTATTGGCTAGTTTGACACTTTCTGTAGAGAGAAAACTCTATAAGGTAAGTAATTTTATCCCCATTTTAAGGTAAAGAAATGAGGACAAAGTTAGAGAACATCAAAGTCTTGTAAAAGTCACATCAGGTTATAGATGTAACAACTTGACCCTATAGTCACATCAGGATATAGATGTAGCAGCTTGACCCTATAGTCATATCAGGTCATAAATGTAGCAACATGACCCTACAGTCACATCAGGATATAGATGTAACAACTTGACCCTGTAGTCACATCAGTTTATAGATGTAGCAGCTTGACCCTATACTCACATCAGGTTATAGATGTAGGCAGCTTGACCCTATAGTCACATCAGGTTAGGATGTAATAACTTGACCCCATAGACTGTAGCAGCCCTTATAGCTTATGGCTAGGAGGAGTGAGAGTTATAAGAAATACCTGTAATGGAACACCTTGGTGAAAAGGGCATGGAGAGAGATTTAGTTCTAACAAGCATGAGAGAGCTCGTGAGATGAGAGCTTTGGTGAATTGGCAGTCTCTACACCTGTGGTGTTGAGAGGCACGAGATCAGCCTTATATTAGGCTGGAGGAGAAGGCAGTTGGGAGCATGCACATTCTATCACGGACTTGCTTACTGTGACTCTGTCTCCTCTCCTGCCTGTAGAACACCAGCATGGCGTCTCTCTGCTAAAGACTAGGATCTGTCTGTTCTAAGAAGATGGCTTTACTCTCTCTAAGACTCTCTCTCTCTCTAGCTAAAGTAGAAAGCCCTCAAGCACCTAAGAGAAACTGTTCCTGAGCAAGGTAGCTTAGAGGTCCATGCCAGGAACCTACCTAAGCCTGGCCAGTCCCAGGCCTTGACAAGTGGTGTCAGAAGCAGATCCTGACGGTAGTCACATCAGGATATAAATGTAGCAGCTTGACCCTATCGTCACATCAGGATATAGATGTAGGCAGCTTGACCCTATCGTCACATCAGGTCATAAATGTAGCAACATGACCCTATTATCACATCAAGATATAGATGTAGCAGCTTGACCTTATTTTCTGTGTTTCACTTTTTTTTTTGATAAATCAATTAGAAAACAATGAAGCAACTAAAAGTTGATGGTTTTTTTTGCAGCATAAACATTTTTTAAACATGAAAATATAGATTTTTTTCTCATTTTTTATTTTAAAGTTTTAAAATTACAGCCACATTAAAAGCTAACCATTTTTCCTTATTTAAGGGGACTAAAAAGTGATAATGAGGGTGTTGCTACAGTAGAATACCAAATACTCAAGGAAAATTAGCCAACCTTACACAAATATTTGATCATTTGATATTCAAGATGGTGTGAGGGAGTGGGGCTGCGAGGGGGACTAAAATCTCTTGGCGTAATTGTCTGGTTTGGGGGGGTCTACATAGAAACAATTAAGAAGTTGATTTAAAAAAAAAAGTTGAATTAGATAATATAAAAATAAAAACCTCTAATAGACCAAACCATTCTTGGAGTTATTTGGAACTAATGCGATTGAATTGCCATATTAACAATTTGTATTTGTATATCTGTGGTTTATGTATGTTAGAAGCAAACCTTAGATTTTGTATTTTAATAGCTCCTGAATGTACCTTTGATTTAATGTAGTTTAGTTTGCTTTTGTTCCTTAATTTCACTGAACCATTTCAAAATTTGAATTCCTCTCTTATGGGAATGCTAGCCTTATATACCTATTAAATGATCTAGTTGCTTTATGTGCAGTTGCTGGAGAAGTGTTGTTTTGTTTTTGTTTTTGAGACAGAGTTGCACTATGTCACTTTAGAGTGCCATGGTATCACAGCAACCTCAAACTCTTGGGCTTAAGCAATTCTCTTGCCTCAGCCTCCTGAGTAGCTAGGACTACAGGTGCCCACCACAATGCCTGGCTATTTTTTTTGTTGCAGTTGTCATTGTTGTTGAGCTGGCCTAGGCAGGGTTCAAACCCTCAAGCCTCATTATATGTGGCTGGTGCAGTAACCACTGTGCTACAGATGCCCAGCCAAGAAGTAAGTGTTTTGACCAATAGAAGGATAGCCTTTTCAGTTGTAAAATGGTATAGAAGGATTTTATTTCTCAGTTAAAATCTGTGTCCAGATTATCTTAAAATGTATTAAACCATATTACTTTAATCTAAATGATATACCTTTTTTTCTTATAAATGTAGTACATTATATACTGTGTAATGTATGATATTACACATTAACCTTTATGGCAAACAGATCGGCTAATAATTTTATTGCCATTATTATTATTTGAAAGAGTCTTTGTTGAGATTTCTTGAAATCTGTCTAACACATTTTTTTCCCTTAAGAGAAAAGAATCATGCAAATTTAACATAAATTGAAAAAACGTTTGAGAGGTCTGTTAGGAGACCATGTACTTTTAATAAGGTGAATAGAATTTATTCTGCTTATAAACTAGGTTTCATACTTTAATGTGTATAAAATTGCCTAGAGTCCTTATTAAAGATGTACCTTCCTCCAGAATTAAATCAGTAGGTCCTTGACTTTGCATTTGTAGTATGTTCTATGTGACTGATGCAGGTAGAACTTAAAGAAGTAAATAGGTGGGACCTTATAGTGTCTGAAGCCCAACTTTGCATTTTACACATCTCTGATTGCATTAAAGAAGCTAAGATTCATGATATCACTGACTATAATGCAGAAACAAAATTAAAACATGTTCCTGGGCTTCAGGGCACCTCTAGAATGTTTCACTTATGGTATCAATGCTCAACTTAAAAATTTAACAAAAAGAAAACAGGCATGCATAGATAGATAGATAGATAGATAGATAGGAAATACAGTGGAACCAAAGTCCAAGAGAAAGAACAAAAAACAGAAACAGATCCATAAGAAAACGAAGGTAATAGAGTTATTAGACTTAAAAATACTGTGCTTATTATGCTCAAAAATAAATAAATAAAAATAAAAGAATTGTAAAGCAGGGTAAGAACCAAATAAAGTTCTAAAACTAATGGTATGAAAAATTTATGACTTACTTTGAGAATAATACTAAATAGAATTGAAGAGCATTTGTAAATTAAATGATTTATCAATAGAAAATATAGTCTGCAACTTATACAAAAGAATGGAAAATAAAGGAAAAAACCAAAGACATACATTGAATATAGTGACTAAGTTTAATGTGTATACATACGTGTATAATTGGGATGGTAAAAGGAGAGGAAAGCAAGCATATGGCAGAAATAATAGTTGAGGAGGTAATAGCTTAGAATTCTCCCGAGCTGGGAAAGGTATCAAGATTCAAGAAATGCCATGCATCCATGTATCCCAAGCTGAAAAATCAAAACAAAACCATATCAAATAAAAATAATGAAGAGTAATTGCAAAATGATATTTCTGATAATAACCAGAAGAAAAAATATATTATCTTCAAAGTAAGGGTAAGACAAAGAAATGATTTCTGGGAAGAAACAGTGGATGCCGGAAAGCGTAGTTCTGTCTTCAGCATGCTGAGAAGGAGGAAATGACTGCTAAGGCAGGAGGGGAACAGAACTGCTAGTGTAGGGTTCTTGGACCTAGGAGAGAACTCCAGAAATGAAGGTGGAAAGGGCCATTTCCAGACAAATAAACACTAACAATTTATTACCAGCAAGACAAGAAAATACAAAATAATCTTTAGAATGGAAGCAAATTATTCCAGATGAAAGGTTGATGACACAAGGAAAATGTTAACTGACAAAATGTAAATATTATGAGGAAATTTTAACATATTATTTAAAACAATACTAACTTCTTATGAAGCCGAAAATGTGTGTAAAATTAAGCTACACAGCAATATTATCTTGTAAATTGAGATATTAGCCCCTAAGGTATCCTGTAATGATTCCCAGTTCCTCGTGTCCACATTCTCATCAGTCCCCTTCTACATTGCACCACAGTTGGTCTGTGTGCCCAGTAGGATATAGCAGAACTCAAGGTTATCTCTCTCAAGAGTGGCTTATAAAAGACACACCTCTTAGGTACACACACACTCTAGCACTGTCATTTCTTACTTGGGATTCAAGTGCACATGGCAGGGACACTCAGGCAGCCCATGAAGAGGTCCATATGGTGAGGAACTTCGATCTCTGGCTCACAGAGAGGAATGGAGGCCTGCCACCAACCACACGAGTGACCTTGGAAGTGGACCTCTTGGTTGTAGTTTAGTTTCAGGTAATCGAAGCCCCAGTCCATGCCTTGACAGCAGTGAGAGCCTCTAAGCCAGATCAGTCAGCTGAGATGTTCTAGATTTTTGACCCTCATAAATGATGTGAGACAACATTTGCTGTGTTGAGCTATTCAGTTGTAAGGTAATTTATGCAGCAATAGGTAATGTAGCAATAGATAACAATTCTGATTTTAGTGCGTGAAGGTAGGGCGCTGACATAATAATAACTTGAAATGTAGTAGATTGGGAGCTGAGTGGTGTGGAGAAGCTGTAAGAACTTTTTAAGAGTATTAATGAAAGCCTGAAGGACCTTGAACAAACTTAGTAGAATAGTATACTTTGAAGAGGCTGCCAGTGGAGACGTAAAGGAAAGTGAGGAAAATCTTATTGGAAAATGGTCTTTGTTATGTAGTGGTAGAAAGTTTAACAACACATTGCCTGCAGTAAACTGAGAAGTAAAAAATGCACCTAACAAAATTGAGATCTGTCAAATTGTTAAAAGTACTGCCTAGTTTAGTCTTTTTCTACTTTTTTGTCAGATGTAAGATAAGACAAAACTAGAGAAAGGACTATTAAATAAAACATAGCCAAGGATTTACCAGTTTTGAAGATTTGAAGCCCTTCCAGATGGCCAGTGTTGCCAAAACTAAGTAATGTTTCTTAGCAAAGATCAAACTCAGGGCACTTTCAGAAAAGCATGATCTAAAGTTGAAGCCAAAGATGTTAACTATAAAATTACTTCAGAAAAATCGAAAGTTGGTGCTTCAGTACTTTTTAGACAAAAGGGCCTTTAAAAAATATAAAGATGTGCATAAAGATTGTCTTCTCATTAGTATTGAGAGTGTCTTAATAGGTGGCTTCCAAAAACAATAAAGCTTCTGAGAAGCTGAAGGGTGGTCCCTGTGCCTTCTCTATCTAAAGCCAAGGTAGAGGGGACTTAGCCTAGCAGGCATTTGAGGGTGTGACTTTGGCTAATGGAGTGAACTCCAGTCAGATCCAGTGAGACCTACATTGTTTTTGGAGAGAATCATACACGTACATCAGAACCACTGTCATCTTTAACCTCAGAGACAGTATAAATTGAAAGAGGCCTTTCACCTCCCAGGCCGCTGTAAGCAGGAATCTGGCTTTAAACTTACTCAACCATAAACATGTGCTAAATCTTGAAAATAGGATGACTCCGAGAGCAGAACCAAATGTTACTAAAAGTCATTTTCAGGCAAAGGTAGAACTGTGTCCTAGTCAAGGAACTTCTGTTTACCCAAGTAGGTTTCATAATTGCTCTTTACCACTGGCTCTTTGTATACCTCCTATTTTCCCTCATTTTAAAACAGGAGTACCTAAAAGGTTATGTTCTGTGGGTTTCACCATTTTATTTTAGAGATATGTGGGGCAGAAAATCTGTCTCTTAGGCCTCAGGGCAGTAGATCGAGAGGCTCAGCAGTGCCCTCTCCCCACCATCTGCAGTTTTGCTTTCCTTGGTTCCAGTTTCCTGCAGTTCTCCACAGTCTGAAAATATATTAAATGGGAAGTTCTGGAAATAAACAATTCATAAGTTTTAAATTGTATATCGTAGCATGATAAAATCTCATGCCATCCCATTCTGTCGTCCCAGGACATGAATCATCCCTTTGTCCAGTGTATGAACAATCTATTTTACCCAACCTTTAGTTCCTTAGGCGCCGTCTAGCTCAGTAGATTGACTGTCACAGTGCTTGTGTTGAGGGTCAGTAGTAACTGAGAGCTCCACGGTAATACCTACATCATTCATCTCATTTCATCTCACCACGTGGGCATTTTATCGTCTTATATGAGTGGTAAGGACACATAAATAAATAAATAACAACATGAAATCATAATTCTTAAATATTACATAGGAAATAAATCCTACATGTAATATTTCATCCACAAGTATTTCATGATTTTAATATGCTTGTAGCTAACTTCTCCAAAATAGCAAACCTGTCTATTAGGCCCAGTTGTGCTCAGTTGTTTCATAGTACCAGATTTCATTAGCAATTATTTTCATTTCTCATTCCATTGCAGGGTGGAGAGGTACTTGGAGTGAAGTAAGTTTTCTGTGATACTTCCACACATAGATATAAAAGAGTAGACTACATAAGGTTTATCAAATATATTTATGGCTTTGTACAAAATGCCCGATAATATTCATAGCAAAAAATAAGCAATAGAAGTTATATTTATTTTAATTCTACATAAACTTGTATTTCTCTCACATTCTTTGTAAAGAGACTTCACCTTCATTGTGGCTATGAATTAGTGAAAGGATTTCACCAATGTAAACATATCCATAAGTCTTAAATTTTGGACAAAGAACTAGATTTCATTGTGTTCACTCTTTATTTGTGGTAATGCAGTGGTGTTATAATTCACTTAGAGTAAGTGTTATAATTGTCTTCTGTACTTCTGAAATGTAACTATTATTTCTAAATATTCTACTTCCAATCTTATTTCAAAGGTATATCTTAATGGTTGTAATTAAGTAAATTTAACTGTGTACCTTGTTTTTTATAAGGTTTGTTTCTTTCTATCAATCTTTATAACCATCATTTCCAATAGTTATTTTTAATGGAAACATTTTTAATGAATGTAGATTTTATGTAAACAGTATAGAGAAGACCATAAACAGTCTGCAGTGGGCATAACACTGATTCACGAATATGCTAATTATTTTTCAGTTGTGGTGCTATTGTTTGTAGCTTTAATAATCCATATAATGTGATCCTTTCAAATAACAGTATGCAAGCAAATTCAAAATTTTTACAAAAAAGAATAGCTCATTAATATATTACTTTTAGAGGTAGTAACATAAACATTTATAAATACAGGTATATTCTGAGTAGTGATGGGGAGGGTTTTAGCATAATGTGTTGCTGGAGAGAAGAAAAAAAATGATAAGAAAAATTCTGATTGCCAGTAATGTAGATTTTGAAATAATTTTGATGTTTTCATTTTCATAAATATTATGACTTTTTAAGAGGTAAATCTAGGAAATAGTACTATAAAAACTGTTATTTTTTTTTTTTTTTTTTTTTGAGACAGAGCCTCAAGCTGTCCCCCTGGGTAGAGTGCTGTGGCTTTACAGCTCACAGCAACCTCCAACTCCTGGGCTCAAGCGAGTCTCCTGCCTCTGCCTCCCAAGTAGCTGGGACCACAGGCGCCCACCACAACGCCCGGCTATTTTTTGGTTGCAGCCGTCATTGTTGTTTGGCAGGTCCAGGCTGGGGATTCAAACCCACCACCCTAGGTGTACGTGGCTGGCGCCTTAGCCGGTTGAGCTATAGGCGCCGAGCCAAAACTGTTATTTTTAAAAGGGCTATTTTATTTAGAAAATGTTCACCTCAGTATAAATCATAATGAGGGATTGCCTTTTTTTTTATCTGTTACTTTATCCTACTTATCCCTTTCCCTGCTCTGTTGTTGGTCATATGATTTGCCTTTTTTTTTTTCTTTATAAAACTCAGGCCTGCGGTTTACCTCAGTTTTAACAAACTTAAAGGACATTATAGCTACCTTAATGTAGTATTACTTTGGGATTTTGCTCAGATATTGAGTCCTAGAGCAGAAATTTCTGATTGATAAGAATATTTGATTTCTTGTTTTTCTGCTTAAATATAACTACAAGTTATAAGTTATAAAATAAAGACATTGCTACATTCTTAACCTCAAAGTAAATAAGAATAAGAGGTTTAAAACAAACCTTGGTAGTTAAGTTATTTTATATATATATATATATATATATTTAATTTATAAATTTAGTTTATTAACCAGGAAGAAAGATGCAGGCTGTTACCTGTTTTAGAGATTTGTAGCAAGCACAATTAGAATACATACGACAATATATCATAAAAACTCATATTGGATTAGGCAGTCAATGCTAGATAAACTGCATTTGAATTTTTTTTGAGCTGAAACAATTTTCCATCCAAGTGAAAAACAAGTTTTAAGTCCTTTGCAGAATTGATGTAAGCTTGCGAGCACATCCAGCAGTCATTTGGAGCCTCCCTTTTGCCATATTTGTCTAATGTATCACATATCAGGCCTATTACTATTTTCAGAAACAGTATTCAGGACTGAAATCCTACGGTTAACCTTTAGAAGATCAAAGGGAAGTATACTTACTTAAAAGGTGACCCTGATATGTGCATACTTTCTCTCTTTATGCTTTATTGCTTGCATGTTTAACAGCTTCTTTTTTTGATTTGTTGCATAGGATTACTAAATCTGAATTTAAAGGTCAAACAAAGTCATTTTGGGATAAAACTAATGTATCAGTTACAAGGCCATAGCTGAAGATACTGGCAGCAGTAACGTGGAGTTATCATTTTAAATGATTTATTTTAACATACAGAGTGATAAGATAGCCATTGTTAGATGAAATTGTATAAAACTTTTAACTTTTTAAAGATTTTCTGCTCAGGATCACTACTAAAAACTAGAAGTATGTCTGTATCTTTGAAAATAGCTGTATTTATATTAGTAATATATAGAGCGGGAGAAAGAAAAAGTAAATATACATAGTGATTTTGGGTAAACTTTCTCATTGTAAATACTGAACATATTCTTTATTTTGGTGTTCCAAAGTTTCTTCATAGATCAAGGGAATGCTTTTCTAAACTGCGGGCTTAGTATTTTTAAATCACGATTATTCCTATATTAAATATTAAAATTTCCAAACTCTTTTTTGGTTTTGAAATTTCTGCTGTCCAGTATCTTCTGCTTTATATTGACTGTTTTAATTGTTACTGTTTTTCCTTGGAGGTCTGCAGGGTGTTCCTGTACTGCTGCTAGAGAGAGTGGAGTATGTTGAGGTAGCTGACTCTGCTTTGTTGTGGTTTGTTTTTTAGGTGGTGGAACAGGGTATGTTTGTAAAGCACTGCAAAGTAGAGGTATATCTCACAGAATTGAAGCTCTGTGAAAATGGAAACATGAGCAATGTTGTAACTCGAAGATTTAGCAAAGCTGACACAATAGGTAATATAAGATCTTATCTCTTTTTTAAACCTTGGCTATTAGATAATTTCATTATAATTCCCTGTTATATGCTACTTGGATGGTAACCATTTTAAGACTTCATGCATAAATATTATAGATTCTCACCCTTGACAGTGTGTCTTGTCTTTATTTTTTTTTGGAGACAGAGTCTCTCCTTGTCACCTTCAGTAGAGTGCCATGGTGGCGTCACAGCTCACAGCAACCTCAAACTCTTGTACTCCAGTAATTTCTTTGCCTCAGCCTCCCTAGTAGCTGGGACTACAGGTGCCTGCCACAACGCCTAGCTATTTTTAGAGAAGGGCTCAGGCTCAGGGCTCGAACTCGTGAGCTCAGGAAGTCCACCAACCTTGGCCTCCCAGAGTGGTAGGATTACAGGCGTGAGCCACAGCACCCGGCCAGTGTGTCTTGTCTTACCGTTGAATTATTATTGTTTCTTGCTATTTTTTATTTATTGAGTTTAACATTTATGGCATTTTGTTTTTTTTTAATAAAATATTATTTTAATGTAGCACTTAAAAAGTATATGTCAGTTTATAACATAAAGAAGAGCTATAAATAAAAACCTGCTTCAATAGAACCTGGTAAGGTGGCGCAGAAAATGGCAATTGGTTATTTCTTTTTATGTCTTAGTTTATTCATATGTACTCTTAAAAACAGCTAAGTGGCTAAGGCAGTAGGCTTATCATTGACACGTTGATTTATTTTTAATGATTATGTTAAGAAACCATGGAACCAAATATAAGGGGACCTAATTCTATATTTATATACCTATAGGTATTAAAATATATGAGGTTTTTAATATAAAAGGCACGTTTTATGGTCAAGACTATATTGAACAAAGTGTTTTTAAAATAAATGGTTATGAACTTAGTAAAAATTAGTTTTTTTTATAAAACACAACTCAAAATAATTATCAAAGGTAGTTATATTTAATTTCTAATAAAGTTGTTGAAAACAAGATCATTATAATGGTAATAACATTGATCTTGTTGGGAAATGCAAATGGATAGTGCAGAGCTCAGTATGGATGAGAGATTTGCAAATTCATGCATTGTAGGACTGTGTACAGTGTTCTGTTAGAGCCAGTCAGTAAGTGCACATTGACTCGAGAGTAACTGAAAGTGTTTTATAAGTTTGGCCTTTAGCACTCATCTATTTCACAGCAAGAAAATACTATTAACTCCCATTTTTCATGAAGTAAATTTTTTCAGGTACCACATGCTTAATTAAGCCTAATATTTTTACCTAAAGTTAGGAACTCTTTATTCCCCCCCCTTTATTTAACTAGAACATTTATAAGCTCAAGACTCAGTTTCAGTAAATACAGTCATCTTTCTAAAATGAATACATAAAATATGAAGAATTTCATATATAAATGTGATTTCATTATAATTATCATTATGCATAAATTCTTTAACTTTTGAATTTCCAGATTTATGGACTATGTATATTCAGGAAAATAAAACATTGCTACATGCTAAAAACTGAAAGTTTTCATTATATGAAAATTATGTTAATTATATGAGTATATATACAATAAGAATCTATGAATTTGTCTAAGAAGGATAGTCTATTAAAATTATTCAGATTAATCTCTGAAATTTACAGCCACTTGAATTATAAATGAGAAGATACCTCTTAAAACAGTTGCTACAGATGATGTTTTCCTAGTTATTTTAAAAATTTGGTATTTTTTCTCCCCTTCATTTTAATAGAAAAATTATTTATTTTCTATTAAATAAGAATAGAAATAAGAAAATGTAATAAGAAATGTAAAAATAAGAAAATAAATATGAGACCATCAGCAGTCTTATTTTAGATCATTATTTTATTGAATATTTTTTAAAATCACAAAAATCAGCACCTTGGTTTAGTTGCTGACTTCAAAATAAGCATTATGGAGTTCTCATGGTAAGTACCATGTAAGAATTTGTCACAGAGATACATAATTTACAAAAGATCTCTGCTTCAAAAAGTTTATGATCTTGCACAGATTTTAATTAACATGGTTTAAATATACTAATACAGTAATATATTTAATACATTGGATATATCCTTAAAATTGTATGTGAACTGAGTTTTTTGTATAGCTACAGTTTCTTATTGTATTAGATCAATTGTCTTTCAAACTGGATTGTTGATAGTTTAGTGGTTCATTAAACAGTTTGGGGAGTAAAGAGAATTGAATGGCAAATATCAAAATAGAAAATATCAACAGGTAAGTAAGTATGTGTCCTGGATCACAGTTTCTTATTGTAGCTCTTACCTCAGTTTCTTTTTGTGGCTCTTAGTTTAGAAAGTTTGGAAGTATAATCTAGAGCAAATCTTCTTAAGCAGAAAGTTTAACAAAAATTAAAATGTCAGAATTTTAGGGACTTCATGGTTACAGTTAGATAAGTTAATAGTTACTGAACACTTAATGTGTTTTAGGCATTTTACAGGAATTTTTTAATTTGAATCTCATCAACCCTGTATCATCATATGGATTAAGCTGAGGTTAAGAATCTCCTTCAGTTCACCCTGGTTTCAAGTGGTAGAGTCAATACTTTAACTTCACAGCCAGGGCTCTTATTCCAGAGTCTTACCTCTTAAAGAAATATCCCTTTGAAGGTATTAATTTGACTAACTTTGTTTTTCTTAAGGAAGTAAGATTTGAAACAAAGAATCTGAATAATAAGAAACTGAAGATGGAAAAAAATACACGTACAGAATTATGTTATATGTAAACAGAATTAGGAAATATAAGTGCCTATTTTCTCTTGCCAAATTAATAAAGTGTTCTGTTTTCAGCTAGTAGTACCTGTATTGATATATATTAAAAATGATAGTAGCCATAGTCAAGATCTAAATTATTTGCAATGTCAAGAACAAAATACTTTGTCTTTAAATATGTATTTCTCTAAACTGATATATTTGGGCATTTAATATGTTGTAGTAAGATAGATAATTTTTAGTTTTCCTTTAAGGATACCACTAAACACATAATTTTGGGTATAAAACTTAAAAAATGCTTTATGCTTATAAAATTTTTAATAGGTTGAAATTCTTATTAAATATTCCTTCTTGAAATGTCTTTCACAGTTTTATTTCTATTATATGTATTGATATTTTTCTACCTCTGTATGTGTTTTATAAATGGCCAATACAGTTGGATTAACAGCTGATAAAATAAACACATACTCTCAGTCCCTTGACGTTCTTAACTCCAATGATCTTGACCTACACCTAGCCTCAGCCACCAGTTTCCATAGTTATCCTCTAGATGGCCTTTGTCTATAACTGTACTGGCCGAGTCTCAGTTTCAGCTTTCTGCTTCCTGGCTGCCACTTCTCTGCTGCCTTTATCTCTTACGCCTCTACATTCGGCTTCAACCATACCCCTCAGTCCTTTGGTGTTCCCTCTGTCCTAGTGTCCCCTGCACTCGCCATTGCCAGATCCAGTGGTAATTTAGAAAGTTCCCATTTTTTAACATGCCAACAAAATTTAACTCAGTAAACTGTTTTTCCATCTAGAAGTGTCCTCCGATTGTGTGGCTTCCAGGGCATAGGTTCTCACTGGTTGGATCTTTCCAGAATCCTTTGTAAATCCTCTTCACACTCCTCATCTCAAAACATTAGAATGTCTCCATGCTTACTCCTCTTTTCCTTTGTGATTTCATCTATTCTCCTGGATTTAAATATGTTCTACATGTTGTTATCTTTTAAATTTATCTGTCCTGCCAGGCACAGTGGCTCATCCCTGTAATTCGAGCACTCCGGGAGGCTGAGGCTTGAGCTCAGGAGTTCCAGCCAGCCTAAGCAAAAGTGAGACTCCGTCTCTACTAAAAACAGAAAAATGAACGAGGCATTATGGCAGGTAGCCTTCAGTCCCAGCTACTCAGGGAGCCTTAGGCAAGGGGATTGCTTGACCCCATGAGTTTGAGGTTGCTGTGAGCTGTGACGCTACAGCACTCTACCCAGAGCACTGCTTTCCTTCCTAGGTAGATCATTTGTTTCTGGATGTGAGTGCTATATACATGGGTGTGTCTGCTTTGGAAATTTATCACAATATGTAGATGATTAGTGCATTTTTTTTTGTACACCATGTTCTACTTTAAAAAAAAGAAAAAAAATTCAACCCCACCAAAACAGAAAGCAAAATATACTGTCAGTATATTGACATATGTGTTTATGTAATTATTTAATGATTCTGGGAAATTTGCTTTAAGGTCTGGGGTATGCTAAAAGATTCACTACTGATTTAATGCCCTAGTCAAAATCTCATTGACAGCAAGACTGTTATAGAGCATTCACTGCCAACTGAATCATCACTATTATTGGCCAAATTTAATTATGTAGGATAGGCAGAGGTTTTTACATTTCTTCAGAGACCATATATTAAGTGATATTTTATAAGTAATGCTTTTCAAAACTAACCAACTATTCTAAAATTTTAAAGTATTCCATATTATATTATAAAAAATTTTAATTAGAGTTTCCCTGAGGCAGGTTATTGACCAGAATTAAACAGTATTATTTAATATTTTTCTAATATTTAAAAAATTTTAAGATTCATTTAACTGTAGGTACTAAAACTAAATTGCATCTGTACTCTCAAATATGTAGATAATCTTGTGTCTTATTTTATGCAACTAAATTGCTGATGTTTTAAAAAACAACCTCACTAAGATAACTGATTTAGAAAGAAGAAAAACACATAGCATTGTATTGAAAATGCGAAAGTTTGAGTAATACAGACATCTCTTCAAACAGGGCACTTTCCTTTTCATTGCATCCACATATTCTACTTGGCTGTTTGAACTGTAAATTATATTCTGTTTAACATAAACTGTTCTTAAATTGGCTATGTTATAATTAAAAATCCCTCAATCATATTTTTAACTACTACATGTCTTCAGAAAATATATTAAAATATATGTCAGAAGTTAAAGTTCATTCCATATAGCACAAATTATATTTTTTTGTTAGACAGTTGAACTTTTTATAACCTTTTGAGATTTTCTTGTTTGTGTTTTTAATTTATTTTTACCTATCATGGATACTGAATTGTTATGTACCTTTATAGGGTACATGGTGATGTTTCCTTACAGGCATTCCATAGAAATTACTCAAATCAGAGTAACTGTGGTATGCTTCACCTCAGGCTTTTCACATTTCTTTGTCTTAGGAACATTCCAGTTCCACTCTTTAGTTATTTTAAAGTAACTAAATACCCTAACTTATTGCTGATTATAGTCATTTTGTGTTATCAAATAGTGTTCATTTTATCTCTGTATATTTTTACACCCAATAACTACCCTCACTTTTCCCCTCTCGTTTCTGCTACCCACCTCAGCCTCTGGTAACCATCGTTCTACTTTGTGTCTCCATAAGATTAATATTCAGTTCTTACATAAGAGTAAGAACATAGGAGATAAGTCTTTCTGTGCTTGGCTTATTTTATTTAACAAAAAATACTCCAGTTCTCATCGTGTTTTTTCCAGTGACCAGATTTCATTTTTTGGACGTATAGTATTCTACTGTGAATATGTCCCACAGTTTCTTTATCCATTTATCCATTGATGGACACTTGGGTTGATTCCAAATCTTGGCTGTTATGAATAGTGCTGAAATAAACGTGGGAATGCAGATATCTTTTTGGTATACAGAATTCCTTTCTTTTAGATATATACCTCGCCATGGCATTGCTGGGTCTTCACTGGTTCTATTTCCAGTTCTCTGAGGAGCCTCCGTACTGCTCTTCATAGGGTTGCACTCATGTACATGCCCATCAGCAGTGTAGAAGGCTCACCCTTTCTCCACATCCTTGGCATCATTCGTTAGATTGTCTGGGTTTGTTTTTTTTTTTTCTTTTAATAGAAAAACTGTTACCACTGGGGTTAGATGGTATCTTACAGTTTTGAGTTGTGTTTTTCTGATGACTAATGATGTTGAACATTTTTTCATATACTTGTGGGCCATTTGTATGTCTTCTTTTGAGAAATGTCTATTAAGATTTTTTGTCCACTTTTTAATCAAATTATTTGGGTTTTTTCTTACTGAGTTAGCACTCCCTATTTATTCTAGTGATTAATCCCTTGTCAAACAGGTAAGTTGCAAATATATTCTCCCATATTGTTGGGCATCTCTTCGCTGTTTGGTTGTTTCCTTTGCTGTGAAGAAGCTTTTTAACCTGATGTCATTTCATTCATCCAGTTTTGCTTTGGTTGCTTGTGCTTTGGTGGTATATTACTCAAGGTCTTGCCAACGTCCTGTGCAGTTCCCTTGGTGTTTTCTTTTAGTTAGTTTCATAGTTTCGGGTCTTACATTTAAGTCTTTGATCCATTTTGGTTTTATTTTTTGCATATGTTAAGACATAGGTGTCTCGTTTCATTCTACATATGGATATCCAGTTTCCCTAGCACCATTTAGTGAAGAGACTGTCCTTTCTCCGGTATATGGTGTTAACACCTTTATTGAAGATAAGTTCACTATAAATGTGTGGATTTATTCTAGATCTCCTGTTCTGTTCGTTTGTCTATATGTCTGTTTTATGCCACTACCATGCTGTTTTGGTTAGTATAGCTTTGAAGTCAGATCATATGATTCATCTAGTTTCATTCTTTTTGGTCAGATGACTTTGTTTTGAGTCTTTTGTGGTTCCATATACATTTTAGGATTATTTTTTCTAGAAGAAAAATAATGTTATTGGTATTTGGATGGAGACTGTGTATAATAGATTACTTTGAGTGGTATGGACATTTTAACAGTACTGATTCTTCTAATCCACAAGCATGAAATATCTTTTCATTTTTTACGTGTCCTCTTTCTTTCATCCCTGTTTTATAGTTTCAGTTATAGAAATCTTTCACTTCTGTGGCTAAGAGTGTTCCTGTATTTTATTTTGTTTGTAGTTATGGAAATGGGATTACTTTCTAGGTTTCTTTTTCATATTGTTTACTATTGGCATATAGAAATACTACCGATTTTTGTATATTGATTTTGTATCTTTGTATATTATTTTTACATCTTGTATCTTTTGTATCTTTCAGATACAGACATTACTGAATTTGTCAGTTCTCATAATTTTGGGGGGAGTCTTTAGGTTTCTCTAGATACAAGATCATATCATCTGAAAACTAGGATAATTTGACTTTTTCCTTTACAATATGGATGCCATTTATTTCTTTCTCTTATCTGATTGCTCTAGCTAGAACTTCCAGTACTATGTCAAATAAGAGTGGTGTAAGTGGGCATCCTTGTCTTGTTCCAGATCTTAGCGAAAAGGCTTTCAGTTTTTCCCTATTCAGTATGATACTAGCCATGGGTTTGTCATATATGACTTATATCATGTTGAGGTAAGTTCCTTCTATCTCCCATTTTTTGAGAGTTTTTATCTTGAGGGGATGTCAAATTTTATTGAATGCTTTTTCAGCATCAATTGAAATGATCATATAGTTTTTGTCCTTCATTCTATTGATATGATGTATCGCAATGATTGATTTGTGTCTATTAAACCATCCATGCACCCCCATGAATCCCACTTTGTAATCTGTTGTTATATTTGGTATGCTAGTATTTTATTGAGAATTTTTGCATCTGTGTTCATCAGAGATATTGACCTATAGTTATCTTTTTTTGTTGTTTCTTTAGTTTTAATATCAGGGTGATATAGTCCTCATAAAATGAGTTTGAGAGTATTCTTGCTTCAATCTTTTGGAAATTTTTGGAGTAGTTTAAATAAGATTGCTTATTAGTTCTTTGAATACTTGGGAGAATTCAGCATTAAAGGCATTGGGTCCTGGGCTTTTCTTTGATGGGAGACTTTTTATTACTACTTCTATCTCATTACTTGTTATTGATTTATTCAAGTTTTAGATTTCTCCCTGGTTCAGTCTTATTAGGTTGTATGTGCCTAGGAATTTATTCATTTCTTCTAGGTTTTCCAATTTATTGGCAGGCAGTTGCTAATAGTAGTCGCTGATAATCCTTTAGATGTCTGCAGGATTGGTTATAATGTCTCCTTTTTCATCTCTGATTTTATTTATTTGGCTCTTCTTTCTTTTTTTAAGTCTAGCTAAAGCAGTGGTTCTCAACCTTCCTAATGCCACAGCCCTTTAGTACAGTTCCTGTGGGTCGCGACCCATAAGTTGAGAACTGCTGGGCTAATAAAGGTTTATCAGTTTTCTTTATATTTAAAAAAAAAAACAAACTTATTTTGTTCATCTTTTGTATTTTTTTTGGTTTCAATTTTATTCATTTCTACTTTGTTTTGTCTTCTATTTTGGGTTTGGTTTGTTCTTATTTTTCTAGTTTGAGGTGCAGTTACATTGTTTATTTGAAGCTCTTTTTTGATGTAGACACTCAATGCTATAAGATGTAGACAATGCTGTAAACTTCCCTCTTATTCATACTTTTGCTGAATCTCATAAGTTTTAATATATTTATTTGTTTCAAGAAATTTTTACATTTTCTTCTTAATCTCTTCATGATATACTGGCCATTCAAGAGCATGTTATTTAATTTCCATGTATTTGTGTGTTTTCCACTGTTCCTGTGGCTATTCACTAGTTTTATCCCATAGTGGTCAGAAAACTACTTGGTATGATTTTGATTATTAAGACTTGTTTTGTGTCCTAACATGCAGTCTATCCTTGATACGGAGAAGAACATACGTTCTGCAGCTTTTGGATGAGCTGTTCTAGAAATATATGTTAGGTCCATTTGTCTATAGGACAGATTAAGTCCAGTGTTTCTTTGTTGATTTTCTGTCTGGATATCTGTCCACTGCTGACAGTGGAGTGTCGAGGTCTCTAACGTCATTGTATTGAGGTCTGTCTCTCTCTTTAGTTCTGATAATACTGGCTTTATCTATCTGGGTATTCCAGTGTTGAGTGCATATATATTTAGAATTGCTGTATCCTCTTGCTGAATTAACCCCTTTATCATATAATGACCTTCTTTGTCTCTTTTTACAGCTTTTGTCTTGAAATCTACTTACCTGATAGATTATAGCTACTCCTCTTTTTGGGGTTTCCATTTGCATGGGATATCTTTTTTATGTGTGCATCTTTGTAGGTGAAGCGTATCTCTTAAAGACAACATATGGTTGGCTCTTGTATTTTTTTCTCTTTTTTTATTAAATGATAGCTGTGTACATTAATGCAAACATGGGGTACAGTGTAGTGTTTTCATATACAATTTGAAATATTTTCATCAAACTGGTTAACATAGACTTTGTGTCATTTACTTAGTTATTGTGTTAAAACATTTATACTCTAG